TCTAGAAACAAGTTTAGTTAATAAAGAGGATTCTCTGGAAAAAAGTTTAGATAATAAAGAGGATTCTCTAGAAACAAGTTTAGTTAATAAAGAGGATTCTCTGGAAAAAAGTTTAGATAATAAAGAGGATTCTCTAGAAACAATTATGACTTTAACAACGATAAAATTATTAAAGTGCATGGAATCGTTCTCAAAACAACGCACTGGGACAGATGAAGTTACTCAAGCTGCACCTACTAAATTACGTCAGCTGGTTTATACCATACTTGGCATTCGGGGATTTTCGGGAACTCCTAATGAAGGCGAACATCCATTTATCATAAAATTACGAGATCTCATTATGGAAAACCTTAATAAATATCGTACAATAAAAGGCACACAGAAAATAGACGAAATTAAATCTATGGCTACAGAATTAATTCATCAAATTATTTCGATTTTTTGTTTTCGTCGAAATATTCAAGAACCTGTTGTCGAGTATAAATGGTATAAATATTCTGACAAGGTTGATCTAGAATTTATGGAATGTCCATTAGATGAAGTTGATGAAATAATGGTCGATATTTGTTCTTTTCCTTTAATTGGAACTAATCTTGAGCATGAAGATAAATATAAAGTAATCTCCCAGGCGTCGGTTGTTATAACAGATTATATAAAACTTTGAATTTGTTGTTTTGGCAAAGTATTTGCTGCTTAACTTCTAAGTTATTATGATGAAGTTTAGTTATTACTGTCCTTTTTTTTTTTACAACAACTTATGTTAAACTTTTTTCATATTTCAAAATAAATTTCTTTATCCATATTAAAAATAGTGTGAAAAATATTGTTTGCTAAAGAGTTAAGGTGTGTAGAACTCGCAAAATTCCGGGACTACATGACATCAAATCTTACATATCGTCTCATTAGGGTGTGAAATGTCATATGATCTACGTACAAACATATACGTATCTATCTATACCATTCAATTCTGAGTTCGTACGCTTTAACGTTTTTAATTGGTCGTATCCGAATCCAAATGACTGAAAATGTGATTTATTCATATGAACATGAGAATGTCAATGTATGACGGAATTTATCATAATCCAAGGTAGTATAATGAAATAATTCGATAATAATCGGGAATATATACGTATAAATTGAATTTTTAATAGCAC